TAAGGACCTCACACGAAACCAAATGATCAATTACTCATCAAATGTGAATTATAATTAATCAAATTGTTACGGTAAGCTTATTTTTGTCACAAATTATAAGTATTGTTTGACAACACAAAGACTAATGGGAACTACACGAAGCCTTTAGACCATACGAGGCGGCTTATGTTTATACCAACCGAACCTCATTCATATACATGTCTAACCTGGTCTAACATGTCTAATCTAAATATACACCTGGAAGATACTGGAGGGCCAAGTACCAAATCTACACAGTAAAATAACAACGTACTGGAGTGAACGACATGGAAGAAAATGTAGAATAGAACCAATGAAGAGCAGGGGTGCCATAGGCACAATCAGAGAACACTGTATAAACATCAGAGGTCCGCGGTTGTTCAACGTCCTCCCAGCGAGCATAAGAAATATTGCCGGAACAACCGTGGACATTTTCAAGAGGAAACTAGATTTATTCCTCCAAGGAGTGCCGGACCAACCGGGCTGTGGTGGGTATGTGGGCCTGCGGGCCGCTCCAAGCAACAGCCTGGTGGACCAAACTCTCACAAGTCGAGCCTGGCCTCGGGCCGGGCTTGGGGAGTAGACGAACTCCCAGAACCCCATCAACCAGGTATCAACCAGGTATCAACCTACGCTTGAAACAACCCAGTGACCCCCGGCGTCTCTTTATGTTACTCGGTAGTTACTTCCACAGATTAACAACCTTGTTTCAAAATCTCAAGTTTATCTAATTTATCTCGATAGGCCTATAATGAGGCTTATCCATGCCCCCCCCCCTAGGGCGTAGGCCTACTGACCAAGGATGCAATCCCACAACAGCTATCTAACTACTAGGTACCAATTTACTGCTAGGTGAACAGAGGCATCAGTGAAAGACAACTTGCTTAGCCATTTCTATCCAGCCCAGGCATCGAATCCTGGACTTCGGATTACGAGTCGACAATGTAGCCCACTGTACTACAGCCTACTTAATAAAACCACCAAATTTTAAACTACATTTGAAAAGTTTCAATATTCTTAAGAATGAAAAAAAAAACATAAAAGCGATTGAAATCTTCAGAAACTTCAATTATACCACCGCTCAAGGCTTTTAAAAGGATGAGAATCTCATTAAATTAAATTAATCTTATCATACTCGTCAAACTCAAGGGCCTTGTTCAGAGGTTGTTCAAACTATCATGAACACCAGATGGGAATTGTTGAGAGACGAGCCATCCATGGCGGCCGAATACGTCACATGTTTGGCATTCGTCCGTCTTCAGTGTGGGGGAGAGAGAGAGAGAGAGAGAGAGAGAGAGAGAGAGGGAGGGAGGGGGAGAGAGGGAGGGAGGGGGAGAGAGAGAGAGGAGAGAGAGACAGAGACAGAGACAGATAGAGGGAGGGAGGGGGAGAGAGAGGGGAAGGTAACACTCGGGAGAAAGCGCTAAGCTGTTGTTGTTATAGATTCAGCTACTCGGAACAAAAAGTTCCTAGTAGCACGGGCTATGGTGAGCCCGTAGTGGACTTACCTGGCACAGGAGCGGGGCTGTGACTGAGCGCCAAGCCACAACGATTATATATATATATATATATATATATATATATATATATATATATAGCACTTGGAAGGGGCCAGGATAAAGATTTGGGATGAGACGGTGGGGAAAGGAATGGTGGCCAACCACTTGTGGACGGTCGGGGATTGAACGCCGACCTGCATGAAGCGAGACCGTCGCTCTACCGTCCAGAGTAGTTCGGCGGAGGCAGGGAGAGTAAGAGAGGGAGGAAAGGAAAGCAGAAGACGGAGAGAGAGAAACAGAGAAACAGAGGGACAGAATGACAGAGAGAGAGAGAGAGAGATCAAGAAAATAAATAATAGTTTATTCAAGTAAAAGCAACCCGTCCTCGACTCAAGTCCATTCCATCCAGCGGTCGACCCCACAGACGCATTCATAAATTTTAACATGCTGTTCATTCAAAACGGGAATTTTCTCAAATATAAATTAATATTATAATATATTAGCATATTGTGCATATATAGGCATAGGTTAGGTTAGGTGTTTAGGTTCTGTTGGCGATTATTTGTATTTGTAGTACGTGGGTGAAGCATTTACAGCGTTGTGGTTCGAACAAAAGTCGTCAGTGAAGCACTTGTTCCGGAAGTGTTCGAACGTCATCAGTTGTGAGTCGTGTGTAAACCGTTTTTCATTCATAAACAGGGGGTTTGGCGGGTGCATGGAATCACTTTTGGGTCTTTGTTTGGAGGACGGGCTGCAAGCCCGCCTCATCGACACCCTCGGTGTTCCGACACCCAGCAGCCCGTCCTCCAAACAAAGACCCAAAAGTGATTCCATGCACCCGCCAAACCCCCTGTTTATGAATGAAAAACGGTTTACACACGACTCACAACTGTTGACGTTCGAACACTTCCGGAACAAGTGCTTCACTGACGAATTTTGTTCGAACCACAACGCTGTAAATGCTTCACCCACGTACTACAAATACAAATAATCGCCAACAGAACCTAAACACCTAATCTAACCAATGCCTATATATGCACAATATGCTAATATATTATAATATTTATATTTGAGAAAATTCCCGTTTGGAATGAACAGCATGTAAAATTTATGAATGCGTGTGTGGGGTCGACCCCTGGATGGAATGGACTTGAGTCGAGGACGGGTTTTAGGGTCTTTTGCCTTTTGTGTTTAAACTTACATTAGTTCTATTGCCTTCGGAACCTTAGAAACTAAAAATTCTTCCAATCTTAATTTATATTTGCAATTGTGATAAATCTTCTTGAGGTTATCTTGAGATGAATTCGGGGCTTTTTAGTGTCCCCGCGGCCCGGTCCTCGACCAGGCCTCCACCCCCAGGAAGCAGCCCGTGACAGCTGACTAACACCCAGGTACCTATTTTACTGCTAGGTAACAGAGGAATAGGGTGAAAGAAACTCTGCCCATTGTTTCTCGCCGGCGCCTGGGATCGAACCCAGGACCACAGGATCACAAGTCCAGCGTGCTGTCCGCTCGGCCGACCGGCTTCCAATGTGCTTGCAGGGCTTGCAAACACTGTGCAACATGAAAGTTGTAAACTGTTAAACTATCACTTGGAAACCTTGGCAAAGTTGCTTGCAAAAATACCTTGTAATTTTCTGCAAGCTCCTTTTGTGTGTTTGTGTGTGTTTGTCTGTAATTAAGTAATTGCTTTTGTGCTTGGGAATTTATGAGGCTACGTGTGTGTTATATGATATCAGTGTTATATGTGTTATATGATATCAGTGTTATATGTGTTATATGATATCAGTGTTATATGTGTTATATGATATCAGTGTTATATGTGTTATATGATATCAGTGTTATGTGTGTTATATGATATCAGTGTTATATGTGTTATATGATATCAATTAATAATTGTGATATCAGTGTTATGTGATATCAGTCCCAGAGTGCTTGGCCCTCGCACTCTCAATGTATGTGTTCTGTTCTACCCTATCTATAGATACCCATCTGTGTATCTATATCTGTTTTTTTTTATTATTTCTTTCTCCTATGTCTCATTATTATATTAATCTTTTATTTTTTCATTTTTTTTTGTATATTATGAACTCGAGAAAATTACGTAATTATTTTTTTTCAAAATATCGGATAAAATATTTTAAAATTTCAATGCTAAATTACGTTAATCTATTTTATTATCGGAGTTTTTTTTTTATAAGTTTAGGAAATAAAAACATCTAGAAATTTTTACTTATTTTTTGGGGGAAGAAGTAAAACTACTGCAATTTTTGTCCATTTTATTAATAATTGTTAAAAACATGGCTGTAAAAAGTAATTAGTGTGTAATGACTTAAGACCTGATTATGGAGAATATTAGCCCTAATTAGCATGAAATGTTTGGTTCATGTATCTCTCGGATATCACATTATGTGTGTGTTGAAAACTTCACTATAGTGAGTGTGTGTTTGTCTGCCCGTGTGTGTGTGTGTGTGTGTGTGTGTGTGTGTGTGTGTGTGTGTGTGTGTGTGTGTGTGTGTGTGTGTGTGTGAGTGCGTGTGTGTGTGTGTACGGTGTGTGTGTGTGTGTGTGTGTGGTAACCTATTTGTGTTTGCGGGGGTTGAGCTCTGGCTCTTTGGTCCCGCCTCTCAACCGTCAATCAACTGGTGTACAGGTTCCTGAGCCTACTGGGCTCTATCATATCTACACTTGAAACTGTGTATGGAGTCAGCCTCCACCACATCACTGCCTAATGCATTCCATTTATTAACTACTCTGACACTGAAAAAATTCTTTCTAACGTCTCTGTGGCTCATCTGGGTACTAAGTTTCCACCTGTGTCCCCTTGTTCGTGTCCCACCCGTGCTGAAGAGTTTGTTTTTGTCCACCCTGTCAATTCCCCTGAGAATTTTGTAGGTGGTTATCATGTCTCCCCTTACTCTTCTGTTTTCCAGGGATGTGAGGTTCAGCTCCTTTAGCCTTTCCTCGTAGCTCATTCCTCTCAGTTCCGGGACCAGTCTGGTGGCATACCTCTGAATCTTCTCTAACTTCGTCTTGTGTGTGTGTGTGTGTGTGTGTGTGTGTGTGTGTGTGTGTGTGTGTGTGTGTGTGTGTGTGTGTGTGTGGTCATCTAGTTGTGTTTGCGGGGGTTGAGCTCTGGCTCTTTGGTCCCGCCTCTCAACTGTCAATCAAATCAACTGTTACTAACTACTAACTTTTTATTGTTTTTTCCAGACACACACACACACACACACACACACACACACACACACACACACACACACACACACACACACACACACACACTCACTCACACACACACAACCTGACAGTTGAGAGGCGGGACCAAAGAGCCAGAGATCAACCCCCGCAAGCACAATTAGGTGAGTACACACACACACCCCCAGGAAGCAGCTCCGTAACAGCTGTCTAACTCCCAGGTACCTATTTACTGCTAGGTGAACAGGGGCATCAGGATGAAAGAAACTCTACCTATCTGTTTCCGTCTTCACCGGGAATCGAACCCCGGATTCTTTCCCATCACCACTGAAACGTATTCTTACAAATCTCCCCGTTCCCAAGAACCTTAATACCATATTCTCCAAGAATGTGTCAAGGTGTAAATACTCTGGCCCCTAAGAGCCACATTTTGATCAACCCTTTACGAAACCAGTGCATCTTCCCCTCAAACATAGCGGCTTTGTTATACATTTATTAAACAGTTTACAACCTCCCAAGTTGTTTATACACGACAATAACCTCAGGTTGTGAGGTTTACAACCCCGTAAACCAAATGTAAACAAAGCCACCATGATTGCTCGAAGATGTACAGGTTTCGTATGAGAGTTGAGTTCAGGTTTGATGATTCCCTGAGCCAGGTTACTGCTACAATGGGGGCCCGGTCTCCTCACGCGAAGGTCAGGTTTACCGTGGTCGCCACTCCACTGTAACAAAAGCAAACTCAAATTAGTTTACATCGACAAATGCGGGAGTTAAAACGGACAAAATTTGTTTGTCTGTGTTTGTTGATCTCTGTTTTTGTTTGTGTATGAGTCTGGTTGGATTTCTGTTTGTTTTATTTGTTTGTTTGTCTCTGTTTGTTTGTTTGATCGTATCTGTTTGACATTTTGTTTGATTATTGGTCCCTCTGTTTATCTGTGTGTTCCTTGTTTATGTCTGTCTGTCTGACTTGTCTGTCTGTCTGTCTGTCTGTCTGTCTGTCTGTCTGTCTGTCTGTCTATCTGTCTGTCTGTCTGTCTGTCTATCTGTCTGTCTGTCTGTCTGTCTCTAAACACACACACACCTTGCCTACCGTCAATATTTTTAGCGCAAGAAAGAGAAAAAAGAGAATCTGTAAAAATAATAATAATAAAAGGAGACAAAGAACAAATGTTCAACATATTTCGAGAGTGTTATGCGCGCTGGTGTTGTTCTCTCGTGTTCTTCAAAGTCTCAGCAACAGCCTGTTCATACTGATGTAGAACACTTCAAAATGTGGCGTGATGCGTCAGTGAACAAATCCACAAGGGCCGTGACGAGGATTTGAGTCTCGGAGAGGCTGCAGGAGCCAAGTATGTTCAGTAGAACTTCCGGTTGCAATTCTTTTGACCATGTCGTAGCTCTGTCGATTAAGGCAGCGTCTGGGATGCTCTCGGACGTAGGTTCGGATCCTCGTTACGGCCCTTGTGGATTTGTTTACTTAAACATGTGTTTCGACTTACATATATATATGTGTCTTGATTGATATATGTGTGTTCTGACAGGCGGAACACCTTGTATTTACTTTCACTGACGGAATGAGAACAAAATTTGGACTCTGTAGCACAGTAGTCTGCGCAGTCGAAATACAACCGTATGGTCCCGAGTTCGATTCCTGGACAGGTTGAGACATTCAGGGACATTGCTGTTCTCCTGATGCCTCTGTTCACCTCAATAGGTACCCCATGGTGTTGGCCAACTGTTGTGGGTGGCATTGTAGGAGTGCTCAGGTGGCTTATGTGGACCTGACACCTGATGCCTCTGTTCACCTAGCAGTAATTGGGCAGTATTTCAGGATAAGACGTGAGAGGTTCGACACTTCCTGTGGAATTAAGGTAATTTTATGTAATTTTATGTAATTTTGTCTCGTGTCTTGCATACATAATTTGTATCCACCATGTAATCTGTGCGTCCAGCAGCCTGTAATTTACTGTGTGTGTGTGTGTGTGTGTGTGTGTGTGTGTGTGTGTGTGTGTGTGTGTGTGTGTGTGTGTGTGTGTGTGTGTGTGTGTGTGTGTGTGTTGTGTGTGTGTGTGTGTGTGTGTGTGTGTGTGTGTGTGTGTGTGTGTGTGTGTGTGTGTGTGTATTCACCTTGTTGTGCTTGCGGGGGTTGAGCTCTGCTCTTTTGGCCCGCCTCTCAACTGTCAATCAACTGTTTCTAACTGTGTGTGTGTGTGTGTGTGAGTGTGTGTGTGTGTGTGTGTGTGTGTGTGTGTGTGTGTGTGTGTGTGTGTGTGTGCGCGCGCTCTGCGCACATGGGTATGTGAGCGTGTTATGTATACACGAATGTATGAACGTATATGGCCATATCCGTGAACTAACGCACATGTCTGAGTAAAGTTCACACCTAAAATCATAATACCAAACAACAAAACACACAAACAAAGACTTACCAAACACCAACATAGCCATCTTAGAGCTGACAAGCAAATCAAAACAAGATCTTGAACCTTCTTAAGTCAATTGTGAGTGTTTATTCCCGTTTTTTTTGTTTGTTTTATTTGTTTATGTTTTTGTACTTTGGTGCAGACCTTGCTGTTACCGCCACCAGATGTCAGCCTCGTCTCTGAAAAGGTAAACAAGAGATGCTGTACTCTTGTGTGAGATGCTTAGATCAGAAGATAGGGAGGGAGAAGGGAGATGAAAGGGCAGGGAAGATGAAGGGAAGATGGTGAGTGGGGGAAGGATGGAATTATAGCAATGGATGAGGGAAAAAAAGATAGATGGAGAGAGGAAGGAATAGAATCTTTGATTTATGTTACATTGACTGGCTACGCTCTCTCTCTCTCTCTCTCTCTCTCTGTCTCTCTCTCTCTCTCTCTCTCTCTCTCTCTCTCTCTCTCTCTCTCTCTCTCTCTCTCTCTCTCTCTCTCTCTCTCTCTCTCTCTCTCTCTCTCTCTCTCTCTCTCTCTCTCTCTCTTCTTGTGTCGAACACATCCTTCTAATCTACCACCTTCTTTCCTCCGTAGACGGATATCTACATCAGTAGTCGCGACAGGATCCCATCTACCCGTCAACTACCACAAGCCCTCGCCTCCACCAATCACCTATCACTTGCTCTGGCCTCCACCAATCACCTATTACTTGCTATGGCCTCCACCAATCACCTATTACTTGCTCTGGCCTCCACCAATCACCTATCACCTGCTCTGGCCTCCACCAATCACCTATTACTTGCTCTGGCCTCCACCAATCACCTATCACCTGCTCTGGCCTCCACCAATCACCTATCACCTGCTCTGGCCTCCACCAATCACCTATCACCTGCTCTGGCCTCCACCAATCACCTATCACCTGCTCTGGCCTCCTCCAATCACCTGCTCTCCCTCACCTCTACCTCAGATGCCCGGGATGCTGACCTCATCTCCCCCAGGGTCTCCCCAGGACCCTGAGATGCTGCCTTCAGTCCTGAAGACGATGCTGACGGCTGCTGACAACACAAACCTAATAATTTACAAACAAAATAAACATTCAGATTTTGCAATTTCGATCATAATAAGTCTTTTTTTAATTAATCTCACAAGTATTTTGCTGTCTTAAGTTTTAATTAAAATCGTGGATCTGTCTTTGGATATATTTGTTTTGTTTTTGTAATTATGAGCAAAGAATCCGGATTTGGATCCGGATTCATGTATGTGCTTGGGGGTGACTTCAGTATTTTCCTTAACATTGTTTTGAATAGACTTTAAAAGGCACTCATACCTGAGAGGCACTCACGGTGGCTGGGAGGAGAGTACCGGGAGTGCACTGGCACACTTGTGGGTACCGGAAGACGGCTACTCCCTCACACTCCCGGTACTGGGGTTGTAAAGGAGGGGCAGCTGATACCGGAAAGACCCCCTCTCCTTCACACTCCCGGTACTGCACTGCTACTGGGAGTACCCTCTCTCTCACACACCCCCGGTACGGGTACTGGGAGGTAGTGGGTATCATCAACTCTCTCCTGGGGCTCTCCTGGTACTGGTGACGCAGGGTATTAGGCGTACTGGTTACCGGGAAGGTTGCAGTCTCTCTCTCACACCCTCTACACGACCCTCTCACCAGTACAACATCAGGTTCTGTGTCACTTTCCGCCCTGACCTGAGGAAGCAATCAACAGCAGCATCAATTACATCAACCACGTACACAAAAGTACTCTACCAGCAAGAGTACTGGTGGCGGTACTCCTGTACTACTAATCTCAAGCTCTATAATCTCTATATTTCTCTAGGCTATTATATTCTCACCTGCTGATTCTGGACGAGGCTGACAGGAATCTGTCCCTTGGTTGAGACAGGTGAGATATCCACCGCCAGACAGGCAGAGGAAGCCCCCAAGGTCACCCCCTTCAACCCGTCACCCATATCTTGGCTATCATCCTGGGGGCCAGGCTCTGCTATCCTCCTCCTCTTCCTGTAGGATATAGTCCCCAGAAGGAGCAGGATAACCAACACCAGGAGGCTCGAACCCAGGCAAACCAGGATTAAGGGACGGTAGGGATTATCCGTCAGTGTTTCCCAGAAGGATCTGTCGTCTGTCTCTCCGTCGTCTATCCCTTCGTGACCGTCTACGACCGGGCCTCCGTCCCGTACCTCAGCTTCTAAGGGGCCGTCTGTGGAGAAGCCATTGTTGGGAATATAATTGTTTGTCCTTGAGAACTTAAGAATAAAGGAAAATGCAGAAAGGCTATATGGTTCATACGAGGCAGCTGCTATTGGTCCATACGAGGCAGCTGCTATTGGCCCATAAGAGGCAGCTGCTATTGGCCCATAAGAGGCAGCTGCTATTGGTCCATACGAGGCAGCTGCTATTGGTCCATACGAGGCAGCTCCTATTGGTCCATACGAGGCAGCTGCTATTGGTCCATACGAGGCAGCTGCTATTGGTCCATACGAGGCAGCTCCTATTGGTTCATACGAGGCAGCTGCTATTGGTCCATATGAGGCAGCTCCTATTGGTCCATACGAGGCAGCTGCTATTGGTCCATACGAGGCAGCTGCTATTGGTTCATACGAGGCAGCTCCTATTGACCCAAACGAGGCAGCTGCTATTGACCCAAACGAGGCAGCTCCTATTGACCCACAAGTCCTAATAGGAGCTACCATGTACTGACCAATAGACCTACTGCAGATACACCCAATTCACACATATCTAATATAACATTATTTTTTATATATTTAGGTCATCAGTAATGTTTTAATAATCCTAAACACTAACATAAAACATTACATATAAACATTGATGTTTATATACAATGTTTATATATGGTAAAGGGATTACTACAAATCTACCTTAACCTGATCAATACAGGAGTGTTTAAGATACAGAACAATAACTCACTGAATATGTAAACACACTTACTGATATGTAAATTCACTTACTGATATGTAAACACACTTACTGATATATAACTCACTGATATATGTAGCTATATCTCCAGCTGTTGATCATTTTTTGATCATCCTATAGCTGATTATTCAGCCTATTGTAAGGTTTATGTATGATGTTAGGAATTAGCCTAATATTAACCATTAACCATGGAGGCTGGTAGCTACCACCATCCACTCACCATGGAGGCTGGTAGCTACCACCATCCACTCACCATGGGGCTGGTAGCTACCATTCCCTCACCATGGAGGCTGGTAGCTACCACCATCCACTCACCATGGGGGCTGGTAGCTACCACCATCCACTCACCATGGGGGCTGGTAGCTACCACTATCCACTCACCATGGGGGCTGGTAGCTACCACTATCCACTCACCATGGGGCTGGTAGCTACCACCATCCACTCACCATGGAGGCTGGTAGCTACCACTATCCACCCACCATGGGGGCTGGTAGCTACCACTATCCACTCACCATGGAGCTGGTAGCTACCACCATCCACTCACCATGGGGGCTGGTAGCTACCACCATCCACTCACCATGGAGGCTGGTAGCTACCACTATCCACTCACCATGGGGCTGGTAGCTACCACCATCCACTCACCATGGGGGCTGGTAGCTACCACCATCCACTCACCATGGGGGCTGGTAGCTACCACCATCCACTCACCATGGAGGCTGGTAGCTACTACCATCCACTCACCATGGAGGCTGGTAGCTACCACCATCCACTCACCATGGGGCTGGTAGCTACCATTCCCTCACCATGGAGGCTGGTAGCTACCATTCCCTCACCATGGAGGCTGGTAGCTACCATTCCCTCACCATGGAGGCTGGTAGCTACCATTCCCTCACCATGGAGGCTGGTAGCTACCACTATCCACTCACCATGGGGGCTGGTAGCTACCACCATCCACTCACCATGGAGGCTGGTAGCTACCACCATCCACTCACCATGGGGGCTGGTAGCTACCATTCCCTCACCATGGGGGCTGGTAGCTACCATTCCCTCACCATGGGGGCTGGTAGCTACCATTCCCCTCACCATGGAGGCTGGTAGCTACCATTCCCTCACCATGGGGGCTGGTAGCTACCATTCCCTCACCATGGGGGCTGGTAGCTACCACTATCCACTCACCATGGGGGCTGGTAGCTACCACTATCCACTCACCATGGAGCTGGTAGCTACCACCATCCACTCACCATGGGGGCTGGTAGCTACCATTCCCTCACCATGGGGGCTGGTAGCTACCATTCCCTCACCATGGGGGCTGGTAGCTACCATTCCCTCACCATGGGGGCTGGTAGCTACCATTCCCTCACCATGGGGGCTGGTAGCTACCACCATCCACTCACCATGGGGGCTGGTAGCTACCACTATCCACTCACCATGGGGCTGGTAGCTACCACCATCCACTCACCATGGGGCTGGTAGACAGAGCCGCTGGTACCCAAGCTGGAGATAGTAAGGTGAGTGTCGCTGGTCAAGCCCCGATCATTGACGGCAGTAACCACGACGAGGTACTTGCTCTTCTCCTTAAGGCCCTCTACCTGTCAAGAGAGAGAGAGTGACCAAGTCACTGCCCGGAACGCTGTGAAGGTTAGGTTAGGTTAGGTTTGGTTAGGTTAGGTTAGGTTGAGTTAGGTTAGGTTAGGTTAGGTTAGATTGGGTTAGGTATCTTGAGGTTATCTTGAGATGATTTCGGGGCTTTAGTGTCCGAAATCATTTAATCAAACTAAAGTCCGCTTTAGTGTATTATCTGGTGACTTAAATTGATTCTAATAAGTCAGTATTTGACATTCAACTAACTACCAATTGGCGCTAAATTTTTCATACGGTGATAAATGTATTTTTTGTAATACAATTTAATCATTTTTATATGTTGTGTGTTTCTGTACGGTTAGTTCTAGGTAAGGTTACGTTAGGTGATTTGGTGATGGTGATTTAGTAATTATATTACAGGCTGGAAGTTGATTAGCTTACCTTACGATGATTCCGGGGGTCAGGGTCCCCCGCGGCCCGGTCTCTGACCAGACCTCCTGGTTGATGGACTGGTCAACCAGGCTGTTGGACGCGACTGAATCACAGTCTGGTTGATGGAGTGACAGTCATGTCATCTTTAAGACATGTCAGGTCATCTTAGAGACATGTCAGGTCATCTTAGAGACATGTCAGGTCATCTTAGAGACAGGTCAGGTCATCTTAGAGACATATCAGGTCATCTTAGACACATATCAGGTCATCTTAGAGACAGGTCAGGTCATCTTAGACATATGTCATCTTAGACACATATCAGGTCATCTTAGAGACATGTCAGGTCATCTTAGACACATATCAGGTCATCTTAGACACATATCAGGTCATCTTAGAGACATGTCAGGTCATCTTAGAGACATATCAGGTCATCTTAGACACATATCAGGTCATCTTAGACACATATCAGGTCATCTTAGAGACAGGCCAAGTCGTGTCATCTCCATCACCTATCACTGAAGTATCCCAGGGCCTATAATCTGGTTATTTATGTCATACGAGGTCAAGCCAGTTCAGAAGATTCCCGGGAACGTCACTTCAAGTTAGGACTCAGAGATCACGCGACTCAGCAACTTAGAAACTTTCTGAGGGAACGAGATTAATCCATTTAATGTTGAGGAAACTGCTGAGAAGGAGGGAAAGGGGGAAGGAGGAGGATGAAGCAAGGAATAAGAGGCAGCGACTTGTAATGGCGAGTCATCAAGAAGGTCAAGACGCCAGCAGAAACCAGATGGATGAAGCAATTTAAAAAGTTTAGTGGGATTCAATGACGAGAAAGAGAGGCAATTAGAGTTATGAATCTGTGGCAACTACCTCTGAGGGCTGGGAAGGGTATTGTCAGGTAATGCCCCGGTTTCACCTCTAATTATGTCAAATGATCACTTAGTTGCTGGTAATTACCAGTTTGTACCTGAGTTACATTTAGGGGAGGAATGTGAGAATTAGAATGCTCCATTAATGCCCCAAGCTAACCTTCCTATGCTGTAAATGCTCCATTAATGCCCCAAGCTAACCTTCCCATGCTGTAAATGCTCCATTAATGCCCCAAGCTAACCTTCCTATGCTGTAATGCTCCAATAATGCCCCAAGCTAACCTTCCTATGCTGTAAATGCTCCAGTAATGCCCCAAGCTAACCGTCCTATGCTGTAAATGCTCCAATCATGCAACAAGCTAACCGTCCTATGCTGTAAATGCTCCAGTAATGCCCCAAGCTAACCTTCCTATGCTGTAAATGCTCCATTAATGCCCCAAGCTAACCTTCCCATGCTGTAAATGCTCCATTAATGCCCCAAGCTAACCTTCCTATGCTGTAAATGCTCCACTAATGCTCCAAAGAACATGGGAGAACACTCACCGCCCAAAAATAACCCGAAAGAGCACAGGAGAAGAACACCAAGAACACGCCAGTGGACCAAACAAGAACATGGGGAGACCCACGCCCGACCACCAAAATAGTTACCAAGAAGTGGGGTGTGGCGGCGTCGCCGTCGGCTCCTGCTGTAGTGAAGTTAAGGAAGTGTTGCAGGGGGCCCTCCTGAAGGCGCGCCTGCAGGAGGAAGTGCTGGCTGAGGCCTCCGCTGCTCCCAGCAACGCACCGCAACCTGACCGAGGTTCGAGACCCGCCCCATACGGTGCAGTTGCTTGGCGGCTCCGGTTTGCCTGTAGGAGACGGAGCGTTATGGACAAGAGAATTATATAACTTTGTCCAACTTGGTCTGGGCGGTAGAGCGACGGTCTCGCTTCATGCAGGTCAGCGTTCAATCCCCGACCGTCCACAAGTGGTTGGGCATCATTCCTTTCCACCGTCCCATCCCTAATCCTTATCCTGACCCCCTTCCAAGTGCAACATAATCAGAATGGCTTGGCGCTTTTCCCCTGATAATTTCCTTCCTTCAATACGAACGAGGTAATTACCAACGGAGAAAAATCAATACTATTCCTGGAACCACAAGAACGAAGTCATTAGTATGAGAGATAGTGAGAGAAAGACAGAGAAAGAGAGAGAAAGAAAGAGAAAAGATTACCAGTCATCATAATTTCTCTTAGTATATAATTATCATCGTTCCCCTACAACAGTAGCCAGAGGGGTCGTTCCCAGCACGACTGGCCTGGCCTAAAGAAGGGGAAACAGATGTTAACGGCTTCCAGAGCAGTCATAATAAGTCTGTTGCAAGTAATTAATTGTCATAGTTACCCATCTCACTCCTCCTGAAGTCATCCATCCTCACTCATCCATCTTACCCAACAATTCGTCTCGTCAAGAAACTATCTGACTCATTTGTACTCATTACTATAAGAGACTCAATCACATATAAGGGGGTCAATAAGCCGCTACCAACTCATAATCTAGCTCATAAAATGTCCTCATATAATCGAACTTAGTCCCTGGGGCCAGATTCATGAAGCAGTTACTCAAGCACCTACGAACCTGTCCATCTTTTCTCAATCTTTGGCGGCTTTGTTTACAATTATTAAACAGTTAATGAGCTCCGAAGCACCAGGAGGCTGTTTGTAACATTAACAACAGTTGATTGGCAAGTTTTCATGCTTGTAAACTGTTTAATAAATGTAACCAAAGCCGTCAAAACACTACACTACACACAGAAATCCCAATAGCGTGATGTATCAAATAAACAAATCCACAAGGGCCGTGACGAGGATTCGAACCTGCGTCCGAAAGCATCCCAGACGCTGCCGTGACGAGGTAAATCTTTGACGTTCAAAGCCGTCAAAGATTGAGGAAAGAAGTACACGTTCGTAAGTACTTGCGTAACTACTTCGTGAATCTGGCCTCTGGTCTTCCCAGGGACATGAGTTCGACCCCATTGTGCAATGTCACCTGCGTTACGAAGTCCGCAAATGGGTTTGTTTACGATCTCACCTGCAGGAAGAATATGGAAGACGCAAGGATGCCTCTGGATGCCGATGTAGTTGGTGGCCCAGCAGAGGAGAGTGCCATAGTCCAAGGAGGTCATGGGGGTGTAGGTGATGACACTCTCACTACCGGACGAGGTAAAGCGCCCGTCTGGCACTTCGATGGTGTCGGCTGTGTTGTTGAACGTCCAGTGGAATGTTTGCTGGGGCGGGTTGGCTTCCACCGAGCAAGTTACTTCGGCGTCTTCGTAGCGACCCACAGCGTAGGTGCTGGGCTGCCCAGGCGTGCATATCGGCGCGTCTGCCGTTGGGATTTGAATTTGAATTTGAAATTGATTTGGTATTATGGCGACCGGCCGGTCAAATATTCACCATTTTCTAGGGTTGTCGGTCAATTATTTTGATACATATTAAAATTTATTTCGAGAGTTGAGAAAAATCTCACTTGGTAGCCGCTATCAGCATGTTCGGATATCTTTATGTTCGGCTATCAGTATGTTCGGCTATCAGTATATTCGGCTATTTGACTTTTATTGAACTAACCCAAGTTTTTAAAAAATTAGGCCTCCAAATCCTGATTAAAACCAAGTCAGCTTATCCCTTATACAAACCTTTTGTAACCCAATATAACCTAACCTAACCTAATTGAACCTAACTTAAAATATTCTAACCTAATGTAAATTAGCCTTACATAATACAAGAGTAAATACGACTTGATAATGGTCCAGGACGGACTGAAACGTCGTCGTTTCTCCATTTTCTGGTGTGTGGTTTGGTCATTATATCTTCAGCCACGTTATTGTGACTTATTGTCTGCATACAAGAATAACATTCCCTGTAAGTTCTTTTCCAGGCACAGTGGCCGATCACACGAGCGAGTCTGGCCACTGTCCGAACGAGCGAGTCTGGCGACTGTTCGGTCGAGCGAGTCTGGCGACTGTTCGGTCGAGCGAGTCTGGCGACTGTTCGGTCGAGCGAGTCTGGCGACTGTTCGGTCGAGCGAGTCTGCGACTGTTCGGTCGAGCGAGTCTGGCGACTGTTCGGTCGAGCGAGTCTGCTGACTGTTTGGACGAGCAAGTCTGTCAGGTGTTCGGACGAGCGAGTCTGCGGCTGTTCGGACGAGCGAGTCTTCGTCTGTTCGGACGAGCGAGTCTGGCGGCCGATCGACCGGACGAGCAAGTCTAGCGGCCGACCGGACGAGCGAGTCTGGCGGCCGATCGACCGGACGAGCAAGTCTGGTGAATCTGGTCGTCGACCGAGTCTCGCAGTGAGACAACTATAGATTTTAATCAAATATTTTACGGTCACAGAAGCGTCGTGTTGTGTGGGTGGGCTCCGGCAAGCGTACAATAATGCTCTCTGGGGCAGTGTAGCTTTGTGTTCAGTGTAAATTCAGTGTTCAGTGTTGTACTTCTATGGGCCGTCTGGCGAGGCTGATCAGGGGAAGTTATGTTTAGAGAGTGTTTTTCAGGTTGTGAGCGAACATTTAGAAGGTGTTTGTAGGTTGAGAAAGAATGTTTAGAAAGTAGTTATAGTTTGGGAGACAATAAGCGCACTCTCAGCTAATCACACACGACAAATAATTAAAGTGTTTACGGGGCTTGAGACAATGTTTATAAAGCAGTTTAGAGCGTTTATGGGGCTTTAGACAATGTTTATAAAGCAGTTTAGAGCATTCATGGGGCTTTAGACAATGTTTATAAAGCAGTTTAGAATGTTCAGGGGCTTTAGATAATGTTTATAAAGCAGTTTAGAGCGTTTATGGGGCTTTAGACAATGTTTATCAAGCAGTATAGAGGGCTTAAGTGGGTGCAAATGAATATTTAGAGCATTTGTGTATTTACAAGGGAGTAATGCTCTCTACATTGATGACTACACACTCACATTTAACGTCGAGCGTGAGGGTGTTGGAGGAGGCGACGCCGACGGAGTTATGTGCCCTGCAGGAGTAGGAACCAGTCTGCGACCTCCCGACCTTCTGCAGCACAAGACTCTGGTTGCTGATGATGACTCCAGCGGCTACATTATGCACCAGCACCACCTCCTGCGTCCCCACCACACGAGAGAACAAGGAACTTGGTTATACCACGTATGGGGGAACAGTGTTCTTGGTTATAAGAGTGTCTTTGAATTACAACGGAAGGAAATACTCACATTGTGGTTCCAGGAGACGCGGGAGACTTTGGGGTTGGCCTGGACCACACACTCGAAGTAGACATCATCGTTTTCTTTAATGTTGCTGGCGTCCAGGGACGCTCCGAAGTGGCAGGTGGCCTTCGGCAGGTCTGTGTGGACGGAGACGGTTTGTTGGTTGCTGTGAGGGAGGTCGAGGTGCTGGTGGTGACCTAGATGGTGGTGGTGGTGTTACTGGTGGCGGTGGTGGTGCTCCAGATAGTGGTGATGGTGTAAATGGTGGTGTTTGTGGTGGTGCAGGTGATGATAGCCGTTATCATATCTCACGTCTCACCATGTCCGCATCATAGATAAAGACCTTGTGATAGTGGTCAATATATTCATGGCTAAATAACACTATTTAAGCTAAAACTAAATCTGGGTACTTAGAAATCATTGAAAATGTTAATAATAGAGCAGAACATTAGCCATATGACAGGTAACAAACGCGAGTCCCAAGGGTGATTTACTCTCAGGGGGGAACAAGGCAATTTAAGAAATAATGAACTGAGGAAAATCGTTGGAGTATGACGGGGAATCGAACGGGCGTCCAGCGTCCAGCTCCAGACACGCACCATAACCCTAGGGGTACCAAGGACGTTCGTACCATCTACGTCCTGTAAATGACAAATGACTATTTCTCATTTTCAGTAGACAAATGAATATTTCCCATTTTCAGTAGACAAATGACTATTTCTCATTTTCAGTAGACAAATGAATATTTCCCATTTTCAGTAGACAAATGAATATTTCTCATTTTCAGTAGACAAATGAATATTTCCCATTTTCAGTAGACAAATGAATATTTCCCATTTTCAGTAGACAAATGAATATTTCCCATTTTCAGTAGACAAATGAATATTTCTCATTTTCAGTAGACAAATGAATATTTCCCATTTTCAGTAGACAAATGAATATTTCCCATTTTCAGTAGACAAATGAATATTTCCCATTTTCGGTTTTGATGACACGAAGAAACCCGCTCATAAATCATCTTTATTATTAACTAAAGATACTTATTGTTCGTGTATAACGATACCGTAGCACAGTAGTCTGCGTCCTCGACTCATAATCGATGAGATAGAACGGCTGACAGAAACGGTTGGGCTTGTTTCGTTTCACCTGATGCCTCAGTTCAAGTAGAGTAAAATAGGTGCCCTTGAGTTGCACAACTGTTGTGTGTCGCAAAAAGCCAAGACTCTAATCTGAGGTTATCGTGATATGATTTCGGGGCTTAGCGTCCCCGCGGCCCGGTCCTCGACTAGGCCTCCTATTTGTTACACACACCCTCAGGAAGCAGCCCGTAGCAGCTGTCTAACTCCCAGGTACCTATTTACCGCTAGGTGAAAAGGAACACCAAGGTGAAAGAAACATTGCCCGTTGGTTATCACTATGCCCCTGTTACCTAGCAGTAAAATAGGTACCTGGGTGTTAGTCAGCTGTCACGGGCTGCTTCCTGGGGGTGGAGGCCTGGTCGAGGACCGGGCCGCGGGGACACTAAAGCCCCGAAATCATCTCAAGATAACCCCCACCGGGGATCGAACCCGGAAGCATATGACTACGAATCCCAAACGTTGTCCACTCTAATGTCTTACAAACACCTATACTTCAACAAGACATTGACCTTAAACACAGCAATAACATCAGATCACAGAGTCAAACAGACAAACACCTCAGCATAAACACAACAAACAAGGACACAAGCGGGACACATCAAACACCAAACACACAGCCAGAGGGCGCCACACACCGAGGGTGGGACACAGCCAGAGGGCGCCACACACCGAGGGCGGGACACAGCCAGAGGGCGCCACACACCGAGGGCGGGACACAGCCAGAGGGCGCCACACACACGAGGGCGGGACACAGTCAGAGGGCGCCACACACCGAGGGCGGGACACAGCCAGAGGGCGCCACACACCGAGGGCGGGACACAGCCAGAGGGCGCCACACACCGAGGGCGGGACACAGCCAGAGGGCGCCACACACCGAGGGCGGGACACAGCCAGAGGGCGCCACACACCGAGGGCGGGACACAGCCAGAGGGCGCCACACACCGAGGGTGGGACACAGCCAGAGGGCGCCACACACCGAGGGCGGGACACAGCCAGAGGGCGCCACACACCGAGGGCGGGACACAGCCAGAGGGCGCCACACACCGAGGGCGGGACACATCAAACACACAGCCAGAGGGCGCCACACACCGAGGGCGGGACACCAGTATCACCGCACCGGATACATGGGGGTAACTGCTGCCCTAAATTACTTTATAATTCACTCTTGTCACCAACTCTGTTGTGAATACTTCTGATGGCTTTACTGGGGTGGTGTGGTAGTGTGGTGGTGGTGCTGTGATGTGGTGGTAGTGGTGTGGTGGTGGTGCTGTGATGTGGTGGTAGTGGTGTGGTGGTGGTGGTGGTGTGACCATCAAGCTCAGATGAAGCATGACCCCCGTTCGAGTCCCTCTCAAGGAGAGATGAATGACGAGAACTGCCTAAATTACAGCACGCGACGCCGCTGTAATGGTGTGGGTGAAAGATGAGGCGTCGAGGAGCAGGAGAGAGAGAGAGAGAGAGAGAGAGAGAGAGAGAGAGAGAGAGAGAGAGAGAGAGAGAGAGAGAGAGAGAGAGAGAGAGAGAGAGAGAGAGAGAGAGAGAGAGAGAGAGGAATAGGTGCATGAGGAGAGAGGAGAATATGAGGAGAGTGTGAATAGAGCTTGTACAGTGCGAGAAAGAATTACGTGGGATGGATACAGAGGATACAGGCAGGTTACAGAGGCTACTGACAGGTTACAGAGACTACTGACAGGTTACAGAGACTACTGACAGGTTACAGAGGCTACTGACAGGTTACAGAGACTACTGACAGGTTACAGAGACTACTGACAGGTTACAGAGACTACTGATAGGTTACAGAGACTACTGACAGGTTCCAGAGACTACTGACAGGTTACAGAGACTACTGACAGGTTACAGAGACTACTGATAGGTTACAGAGACTACTGGCAGGTTACAGAGGTTACTAACAGGTTATAGAGGCTACTGACAGGTTACAGAGGCTACTGACAGGTTACAGAGGCTACTGGCAGGTTACTGACAGGTTATAGAGGCTACTGACAGGTTACAGAGGCTACTGGCAGGTTACTGAGACTACTGACAGGTTACAGAGGCTACTGACAGGTTACAGAGACTACTGACAGGTTACAGAGACTACTGACAGGTTACAGAGACTACTGACAGGTTACAGAGGCTACTGACAGGTTACAGAGACTACTGACAGGTTACAGAGACTACTGACAGGTTACAGAGACTACTGACAGGTTACAGAGACTACTGACAGGTTACAGAGACTACTGACAGGTTACAGAGACTACTGACAGGTTACAGAGGCTACTGACAGGTTACAGAGACTACTGGCAGGTTACAGAGGCTACTGGCAGGTGACAGAGGCTACTGGCAGGCTACTGACAGGTTACAGAGACTACTGACAGGTTACAGAGGCTACTGACAGGTTACAGAGACTACTGGCAGGTTACAGAGACTACTGACAGGTTACAGAGATTACTGCAGGTTACAGAGGCTACTGACAGGTTACAGAGACTACTGACAGGTTACAGAGATTACTGACAGGTTACAGAGACCACTGACAGGTTACAGAGACTACTGACAGGTTACAGAGACTACTGACAGGTTACAGAGACTACTGACAGGTTACAGAGGCTACTGACAGGTTACAGAGACTACTGACAGGTTACAGAGACTACTGACAGGTTACAGAGGCTACTGACAGGTTACAGAGACTACTGACAGGTTACAGAGACTACTGACAGGTTACAGAGACTACTGACAGGTTACAGAGACCACTGACAGGTTTACAGAGGCTACTGACAGGTTACAGAGACTACTGACAAGTTACAGAGACTACTGACAGGTTACAGAGACTACTGACAGGTTACAGAGACTACTGACAGGTTACAGAGACTACTGACAGTTACAGAGGCTACTGACAGGTTACAGAGACTACTGACAGGTTACAGAGACTACTGACAGGTTACAGAGACCACTGACAGAGTTACAGGAGACTACTGACAGGTTACAGAGGCTACTGACAGGTTACAGAGACCACTGACAGGTTACAGAGACTACTGACAGGTTACAGAGGCTACTACAGAGACTACTGACAGGTTACAGAGACCACTGACAGGTTACAGAGACTACTGACAGGCTACTGACAGGTTACAGAGACTACTGACAGGTTACAGAGACTACTGACAGGTTACAGAGACCACTGACAGGTTACAGAGACTACTGACAGGTTACAGAGGCTACTGACAGGTTACAGAGACTACTGACAGGTTACAGAGGCTACTGACAGGTTACAGAGGCTACTGACAGGTTACAGAGACTACTGACAGGTTACAGAGGCTACATACACTGCACGTTGAGGCTCCAAGAGTCCTGGAGAGTCCCCGGAGCGGTGAGGCTCTCAGCCACACACCTCAGGAAAGAGCCATTGTCGTCTGCTTGGGGCTTAATGACTAAACTGCTGCTGGTGATGTTGGTTGACTCCCTTGTCTGAAGGCAAGGGGGGGGGG